TAAGATTTATAAAATAAATAGTAGATACTAGTTTACGAGATAAAAGTGCATCAATTGCTATTTTAATTATGTCTAGTGTTTATGAATTTAAAACCTGTTTTTTGCTTACATATTTTAAAATGTGATTTTCTATTTAATAAATTTTCCATATAACGAACTTATTATCAGGATTTAGTGACTTCGTGAAATAGAGGTCCGACTGTATATTTATTTATTTATGTTTATTTATTTATATGTAAAAATCAATATGTTCTTAATAAACTTGTACATTCAAACAAAAACAAAAAATAAAAGTACCATTTAAAAAAAAATTATAGCTTTCGGAACAAAACTTATTATTTCAGATTTAAAATCCCCACACCCGATTCGATGAGAGCAAGTACTTGCATTAATGCAACAAATTTGTTTCCCAGCGTTATCATTTGTTTTTGTTTTGTTTTTCCCTTGAAGGTAAAGAGGTAGAGCTTTTATAATCAGAGTAAGTAATAATTAGAACGAAATCGAAGATCCGTTTCTACTGTCACTCACATAAACAATGCATGAAAATGAGTCAACTCATTTACTGTCGTCAATATGCCAAATTTAAGCAACTTTACCTAACGTTAAATGTAAATAAGCGAAACCTGAAAACAAGCTTATTATGATTAAGAAATAACTGACTTACTAATAAGTCTATTTCTTTGTTTTTCTTACAGAAATGTGAGTATATCTGGCAAAATTCTGTAGCATTTTCGTGCTGAATACACTTACTGTCATTTCTTGTGCAATAAATATGACGCCTTATCCTGCAAAAGAAAAACACACGGAATAAAAAATTGAAAGGATAAATAAATTAATGATTAGAAAGGTTGATTATTAGTCAAAATCTCCTAACTCTAACACGAAGAATATAAATTTATTATTATTGTATGAAATTATTTCCCTTAAATATGCTTTTGCGGTTGTAGTGATGAGTTAATTTAATTTTTCAAGAAATATGATTTCCAAATTGCTAATCCTTTGAGGCAGAATTTTTATACTTTTTTTTAAAAAATTTTGTTTGCATTAATTTCGGTCAAAATAAGTGAACAATATTATATTTAGCATTTTAATAATTTATGGTTATTGCTAATTTATGGTTAATTTATGGTAATAAAACACCGGTGTCTTTTTCTACGTTTAAAGCTCCAAAACGGGTTAAAGGATCTAAATTAAATCTTCCAAAAACGATTCACTTCCAAACAATAATTTTTCAGATTTGTATTTATTTACACTTATTTAGATATGAGAGAAACAGTTATTCATAATTGAAATTTCTTTAATTTACACTATCAATTATTGATAAATTTTTACGTAAGCATAAAAAAATACTTTTTTCAAACTACTTGATTTGGATTTATATATTTCAGTACAAGTATTCCGATAACCTAACAGATTCTTTAGTAACTATTAGATTGTTTCTTAGAATTAAAAAATAACGAAATACATTTTCGCTTGTAATTAGAGTGTAAAAAAGAACAATTTAAAAGGATAACCGGTGCCTCCTCTGTGTCAAAGGGTTAACAGCAATCGAATTTTTTTTTAAATTTTGTCTTGAAAAAAATTAGATTTCGAGAGTCACTAAACGAAACTCAATTAAAAAATTCATATATTAATGTGAAATATTATGTACAGGGTGAGCCAGTCAAACCTGCATTTTTGAAATGACTGTAAAAAATAAATGGATGGATATTTCAGCATTTTATTGTTACTATCTTAATCTACATTAAAAAGCATTTAAGGAACAACATTCACTGTTTAAAAAAAACGCCAGTAATATGGTGCCGACGCGCCGATCTCCGAGGGTTTCCTTCCACAGCAACTCTCACGCCGTCAATATTCGTTGCAGTTCGCACTGATCTTGCACTGCCAGCCATTCTGCTTCTCGCTTCACCAATTGCTTCAAAGTTTTTCACCCACAATTTGTTTGAATAAACAGACGGCACTGGCCTATTTCGATTAATTTAAAATTCGTCCAGAAACGACGCTGAGTGGCTGCATAACTACCACTTTGGTAAAACGCTTTCACAGCGAACGAACGTTGTTGTTTAGATCAGTGGTTCTTAACCTTTTTAAGTAAATGCAGGTTTGACTGGCTCACCCTGTATTTTATAAAGCAAATGTAATGAGAGCTGGCGCTGACGTCATAGCGTGGGTATCCGCGATCTTCTTGAAGTGCAAATACCCAATTAAAAAGCCAGCTTCAATTTGGGTTGCATAAGATGAAATCAAATTGGAAAGTAAATATTACTTACTCGTTGTTGCTGCAAAAAGTTAGAGCTGGTTGAACGATTTCAATTGGAAAAGTATCTATAACAGACAAACTTGTTGGATATTCCTTGTAAGATTCGATGAAAGAACCTATTTGATATAAGAATCCTATTAAACAAAACAAAAATACAATTATTTTCCATATTTTTTCTTTTCGAGACTTAGCTGCTGCGATTTTCGGGAAACTAGTTATGAGAGATTGTTTGAATATTGCTTTAGCATATTCTACGAAAGAATTTTTCTTGAAAATCCAACTCTTATGTCTTTTTCTTCGGCTGTGCTTCTTTTTTCTAAGAGCCTGAAAAAGAAAAGTATGTGAAAAACAATCTTTTTGCAAAGTGTATCGACCCTATAGATAGGTCTATAGAGGATTTATATTATTATATTAAATAAGAATTTTTTAAAAAAATTGTATACTGACTTCAAATTACCAATTAAGTTTCGTTGGGATTCGGTGATTTGGAGAAAAAGTAAAACTAACATTTTAATGAAGAAGAGCCATAAAAATTGCTGTAATCACTTAAGGTCTGGTTTCTTAGGACAAGCGCCTTATCTGAGCGTCAGCGGGACGTCAACGTCCCGCTGACGCCAACAAAATACTGGTTTGTTAGCTCAAGGCCTGGTTTCTTAAAACTAGCGCCTTATCTGGGCGTCAGCGGAAAGTTGACGTTGAGGTGACGCCAAAAAAATACTTTTTTGTTAGCTCAGCCTGAGCAGTCGGTAAAACGCAGACATTATCTCTCATTGCGCATTCGGCGCCCTGTCCTAAGAAACCAGGCCTTTTACGAGTTTACGAAAAATACAGGATCTCAGCGTCAGGATCTGAAGTCGGCCATAACTGATTCATCAGAATTGAAAAATGTACTGTCGTTGATATTTATAAAGCAATAATTTGGGAAAGGAGACACGAAGAGACTTGACATAGTACGGCTTAGTACATTGTAGACACTTACTTCACTGTTTTCATAAATTTAATAATAGATGATGACTAGTCATAAGAACTAGTGAATTAGATTAATAATAAAATAACGAAAAGGAAAAATTCCGATTAAATATAGTATAAACTAGGATAAATACAAGGCGGAATACTAAGTACAGTGTGTAAATTCGTGTAGTAAGTAGTAAGTATGGATCAGAAGGTGAATTAACTTATCAATAAACACGAATTCACATAACAAACAAACTTAACAAATTTTATTATTAAATATAACAGATCTGTAAAAAATGGCAAGAAAAAGAACGATAATTGTTTTTCTTTATAAAAAGCAAGCGCGTGGCTAGATAATGATTGCACGCGACAACTGGTAAATGGTTTCAGCGCAGTGTAAGTATTTAACGATAGTGGCGGTCGCCACACCATCTCCCCTTCTGGAAAAAAATAATTAAATTTCAAATTCCTCAGTTAGCTTTTTTGGGAAGTGTACTACTCGTCCAAAACGAGTCTTTTTTATAGCAGTAGGAATTCGATCATTTTCAGTTGGTCGTAAAACAGGAGCATTTTGTACCAATTTGGAAGGAATATCTGGCGGTTCTGCTAAATCAGAACTATCTGAGAGTAAATGAGCTGGTTTTACTCTATCAATTGACACTACTCAGTTTTTACCTTTTATTCTGATAGTGAAAGTATTGTCGTTACGACTGTAAACTGCATAGGGTCCAGTGTAGGGTGTATGAAGAGTTGGTTTTACTGCATCAACTCGTAAGAAAACATGTGTGCAAGCGCAACCAAGTCTTTGAAAACAAAAACATTAAAAAAAAAAAAAAAAAAAAATCACTACTACCAGCACAATTCAATTGGATGTTGACCTTGGTTGAAGAAAAGACACCCATTTATTCACGAGATGATATTTCAAAACAATATAAAACTCCAGATATGACATACTTCTACGGATTTGGGGAGATAATGCGGAAAAAACAAAAAAATTAAAGAAAACTACATTTCTTATAACAAGTATCTGTTACAGTGTTGGATCGATTTGTGAATATAAATAAAAAGTATTCTTTGTATCTGTAAGGTTGTCTTTATTTTAACAATTAATTATACAATTAATTAATTATAATAATTAAGTTTTGTTGTCTTCTGTAACTAATTTAATCCTTTAGTGATTTTTGTTACTAATTCCGTTGGCAACCCATGTAATCAATTTAATTTATGAAACTTTTTAACTGATTCTGTTGGCAACTCTTTGTAACTAATTTAATATTTAGAAACTTTGTAACTAATTTGATTGTTAAAAATTGCGAACTTTTTTGTAATCTTTGCAAAAACAACATTTACTTTTCACGTAAGAGCAATCAACTAGCTTGAGTTTGTTTGTTTTTTTATGTTCCCATAGCAACAATTGTTTTTTGATGTTCGGAAAGCTTCAAATGTTGGGAGTAGGCTATTGAGACCAAGTATTTTTTTAGTTTAATGTGATAAATGAGTAATTTACAATTATAATTTCTTTGTTAACCATAATTTGAGCTAATATACCATTTCATTGAGCTATTTTCACGAATGTATAGTTGTTAAGTGTTTATCGCCTGTTCGTCTTTCTATATTCTGTATTTGTCATCTGTGTGGAGAGTAGTTACAGACCATGTCAACCGTCATCTATGAAAAGGTACCCCGACATAGAGTCGAGTTAACATGTCTTATATACTAGTGAATTGTAGTTGTAATTTTGTAGTGGTAGATACGCTACAGTACTCCCCCACCAGAATTATAGTTATGATAGAATTCGATCATTTTCAGTTGGTCGTAAAACAGGAGCATTATGTACCAATTTGGAAGGAATATCTGGCGGTTCTGCTAAATCAGAACTATCTGAGAGTAAATGAGCTGGTTTTACTCTATCAATTGACACTACACAGTTTTTACCTTTGATTCTGATAGTGAAAGTTTTGTCGTTACGACTGTAAACTTCATAGGGTCCAGTGTAGGGTGTATGAAGAGTTGGTTTTGCTGCATCAACTCGTAAGAAAACATGTGTGCAAGCAGCCAGATCTTTGAAAACAAAAACATGCCTTTTGTCGTGAGAAGAGGTCGGAACTGGCTTAAGATCTTGTAGGTGACGATTCAATTTTTGCATAAACATATTATCAACCTTCTCTTTTTCCGAAGAGGTAAAAAATTGTCCCGGAAGACGCAGATTCTCTCCATAAACCAACTCAGCTGGAGAACATCCCAAATCCTCTCTATACACAGAGCGCAATCCAAGTAACACAGCAGGTAAAGCAAAAGTCCAGTGGATTGAGGTATGACACATAATGGACTGCTTGAGAACCCTATGCCACCTTTCTATCATTCCGTTCGCTTGAGGATGATATGATGTTGTATACGAAAGACGTATACCAAAGTTTTTTGCTAAAGTACGAAACAGTTCACTTCTGAACTGAGATCCTCTATCAGTTGTTATACCTTCAGGAATCCCATATCTAGCAAACCAATGAGTGTAGAGAGCTTGCGCAACTGTCTCGGCTTGTATATTTGTCAACGGTATTGCCTCAGTCCATCTCGTGTACCTATCGATACATGTGAGACAATATGAAAACCCTTGTGAAGAAGGCATAGGTCCAACTAAATCAATGTTTATATGGCTAAATCTTTTGCTTGGAANGCAGGAATTCGATCATTTTCAGTTGGTCGTAAAACAGGAGCATTATGTACCAATTTGGAAGGAATATCTGGCGGTTCTGCTAAATCAGAACTATCTGAGAGTAAATGAGCTGGTTTTACTCTATCAATTGACACTACACAGTTTTTACCTTTTATTCTGATAGTGAAAGTTTTGTCGTTACGACTGTAAACTTCATAGGGTCCAGTGTAAGGTGTATGAAGAGTTGGCTTTACTGTATTAACTCGTAAGAAAACATGTGTGCAAGCAACCAAGTCTTTGAAAATAAAAACATGTCTTTTGTCGTGAGAAGAGGTCGGAACTGGATTAAGATCTTGCAGGTGACGATTCAATTTTTGCAAAAACATATTATCGACCTTCTCTATTTCCGAAGAGGTAAAAAATTGTCCCGGAAGGCGCAAATTCTCTCCATAAACCAACTCAGCTGGAGAACATCCCAAATCCTCTCTATACACAGAGCGCAATCCAAGTAACACAGCAGGTAAAGCAAAAGTCCAGTGGATTGAGGTATGACACATAATGGACGGCTTGAGAACCCTATGCCACCTTTCTATCATTCCGTTCGCTTGAGGATGATATGACGTTGTATACGAAAGACGTATACCAAAGTTTTTTGCTAAAGTACGAAACAGTTCACTTCTGAACTGAGATCCTCGATCAGTTGTTATTCCTTCAGGAATCCCATATCTAGCAAACCAATGAGTGTAAAGAGCTTGAGCAACTGTCTCGGCTTGTATATTTGTCAACGGTATTGCTTCAGTCCATCTCGTGTACCTATCGATACATGTGAGACAATATGAAAACCCTTGTGAAGAAGGCATAGGTCCAACTAAATCAATGTNCCCTTGCCAATGTGGGGATGGTAGCTATCGACAATGTTAACCTTCTTCTATGAAAAGGTACCCCTGGTGAAGAAGGCATAGGTCCAACTAAATCAATGTTTATATGGCTAAATCTTTTGCTTGGAACAATAAATTCTTGCAGCGGCGAGTGAACATGGCGAGAAATCTTTGCTTTTTGACATGCTATGCAGGATTTGGCTAGTTTTGCGATTTCTCTTTTCATGTTTGGTCAAATAAAACGATCAGTAATTAGCTTCACGGTGGTTTTAACACCAGGATGAGCAAGGTTATGCATGGCGTCAAATACTAAGGTACAAAATGTTTTAGGAATAAATGGACGAATGAATTTAGTAGACGTATCACAGAATATGAAATTTTCACTGTTGGGTATTGGAAGTTGTTGAAGTTTAAGGCTGGAATTTGTATCAGATAAAATTTGTTGCAATTCGGGATCATTTTTTTGAGAATGAGCGATTTCATCGAAGTTCAATGATTGAGGGAACTTAATGCTATTGATTCTTGAAAAGGCATATGCAACAGGATTTTGTGATCCGTCAATATGTCGAATGTCACTTGTAAATTGAGCAATGAAATTTAGATGGTTAATTTGTCGAGGTGAGAGTTTGTCATATTTTTGATTCAAGGCATGAGTTAAAGCTTTATGATCAGTGAAAACAATGAAATTTACTCCTTCTAATATGTAACGGAAATATTTAATAGCTGCAAAAATGG